CGAAAACTATGAAAATCCGTTTTTAAATTATTGTGAAAAATCCAAGAAGAAACGTTTTATCAAAGAATGTTTTTTCTTGGATTTTTCACAATAATTTTAAAAACAGATTTTCGTAGATTCCCCCCCTCAAAATAACTAATCCATGAATTAATTTACTTGCGTCAAAAAATATTTTCTTTTCCTTTAGAGTTTAAAGAAATTTTAAACAATATTCATTTTATGAACTCTTGATAACGTGACCTTCGAACTTCCGACACCGGTTTCGAGCTTTGGCGACAGATATATCGCGCATGCACAGCTGTTTCCCGCTATGATGGAACGGAGCCACGTCTGTCGCAGAGAGGTTTTTCCTTCTTTACAATACATATTTTTTTATTCTAACCTTCATGGTACCGTATACTAGGATTAAACCCATTTTGTTTTATACCAGAACAGGTACTTTCTTTAGTTCATGCACTGCACATGCGATTCTCGAGGTTACTGGAAACCAAAAGTTGCGGGAAAACTTGCTTTGCATTTCTAAGAAGACAATCAAATTGGAGCTGCGAAAATTGGCTCTATGCCAGCTGCCCAAATGACACTCACGTGATACACAATTCGCCAAAAAAGTGATCTCCCGACGTCGGCGCAAAACTCGCCTTTTTTCGCGGGATCAATGTATAAAATTCCCCGACTTTTCCAGATTTTGACTGAAACACTTAAATTCCCTGACTTTTCCCTGAATTTTTTGGTCGATTTACGAATTCCCTGACTTTTTCCGGTTTTCCAGGTAGAGTGGCAACCCTGTTAATGTCTCTAATGTCTTTTCTATTTCTTCTGACTACTGTTCCTCCCGATCTCAGAATACATGATCCAGGCATCTTATATAGTTCTTCCACAAATGCTGGTTTCCAGTGATTTATCTTCATATACACACAATCTCCCTTGCTTAATGATAGTAATGTTTTTGTATGACAATAATAATATGATTTCTGCTTAGTTCTTTCTGGGTTAATTTTTTCTTTTACATTTTCCACAATTTGAGGTTTCAATAATTCTTCCGATGTATGAAGAATTGTTCTTGTTCTACTCATAAGTCGTTTAGCTGCTGATCCAAACATATCATTATGATTCTTATAGTTCTAATTTTTTTGGACATTTCCTGTTTTTCTTTCCATAATTTGTAAGTATAATACTTCATAAGAGTCACAGCTTTCCTCTTTGACCTTTGCATCTCAATAATTTTAATGTCGTTTTGTGCAACTTTGGCTAGTTCATCTGCCCTGTCATTTCTAATAAAAGACATAAGTGCTTTTTTGCCAGCTACAGATTAGTTTATATGCCTCCCCAGCAGTTCAAAATAAAGTTCTTTCATACTTGTGCGTGCTGTGACTTACCCTACTTGTCTAACATCAGAACAAAATCACAGAATGGCAAGGAGTGCAAGTTTGCACCTGTTGTTGGTAAGAGCACCATACAAGTCACAGTATGACTTTGCTCACTTCTGCCCCAATTTTGATGGAAAAAAACCCTGGGAAGGATAAGTCTGAGGGTCTTCCAACCCTTGCATATTTAGAGCTCCCCCATGCCGCAAACACACTATACAACATCCATGCCTTCTCTGGGATACAAATCAGGCTCTTTGGTTTGGTAGTCAGAGTCACTAACCACTTTCCAGTTGGGCGGCAGACTTTGAAAGTAATCGAACTGAATATTTCGCAAACGAATTTTGTACTTGTTAGAGAGCATGGCTGGTATTCAAATTAGTAAAAACCAAGTTATCTGCTCCTATGAGCTAACAATCCTAAATAAGGGTCAGCATGATCTGCTTGAGCTTTCTTTAACCCTTTGCGGTTCAGTGTTCCACTACATGGAACACCCAAATTGAATCGCTTTTGAAACCTTTAAATTGAACCGTAAATGGATAAAAATGCCTTTACAACATACTTTGAACTTTTCTTTTTAAACAGTAGATAGTAGCATATCACAAGGAGACACAGAATTTTCATTTATTGTGTGTTATTAAAATCCACTTTTTTCAAGTAATTTTCTCTATTTTTTAATGATATAAAAATTTTATTTGGAAAAAAAAATTAGGCATAATTTTGCTGGCTGTACTCCAAATTATCTTTTCTACATTTTTTTAATCTCTCAGACAAAAACCATACGCAGAATCATTGAATAAAACCCAGGTGTTCCATTAGCGGGAACACTGCACCTTTAGCGATCTCATGCTGTTACGAATCAGAACATCTGTGCTCAGGAGAGAACATCCGTTGTTTACGTTTTCTCTTTCCGTTGCTTTGGGGGGGCAATGATTTCAAACAAAGCACTATTGAGGGGTGAGGTGTGTTTTGTGTTATGAAAGCCCTAATATTGGCATCTTAAATTTTTTGGGAGTAGTTTTTAGGCGGGAATTTTATTAGTAGCTTGACTCATCTTTAGTTAGACCTGGGCAAATTTTTTGCTGTCGCTTTTCAGTCTCATTCCCATTTATTTTCAATAATTGTGTAGATATTTCTTGTGTATGTATATATTATAGGCTTGTTTTTCTTTATTGTTAATTTTAATCATAGTTAATTATTTTAATCGTGGTTGGTTTGTGCTTCCATCAAAAAGGTGTGACTTGCTTTGAACAATTTCACGAAGCAAAGAAATATGAAAATTTGTAAATATTTTTGTATATAGGACATGCGTATATAGATATTTATCTTATTTATCCGTATATATTGAAGAATATTGTGTATATCCAGGAAACCATATATACAGCCATAATACAGAGTTTTTTCATTCTTATACAAATGCTTCTACTCATTTTCGTGCTTCACTGCAATGCTCGCTTAGTTGCACTTTTAAAAGCTCTGGCGGCGCAGTATTCCACCTCATGGAACACCCACAGTTGTTCTTGTTCTACTCATAAGTTGTTTAGCTGCTGATCCAAACATATCATTATGATTCTTATAGTTCTAATTTTTTTGGACATTTCCTGTTTTTCTTTCCATAATTTGTAAGTATAATACTTCATAAGAGTCACAGCTTTCCTCTTTGACCTTTGCATCTCAATAATTTTAATGTCGTTTTGTGCAACTTTGGCTAGTTCATCTGCCCTGTCATTTCTAATAAAAGACATAAGTGCTTTTGCCAGCTACAGATTAGTTATATGCCTCCCCAGCAGTTCAAAATAAAGTTCTTTCATACTTGTGCGTGCTGTGACTTACCCTACTTGTCTAACATCAGAACAAAATCACAGAATGGCAAGGAGTGCAAGTTTGCACCTGTTGTTGGTAAGAGCACCATACAAGTCACAGTATGACTTTGCTCACTTCTGCCCCAATTTTGATGGAAAAAAACCCTGGGAAGGATAAGTCTGAGGGTCTTCCAACCCTTGCATATTTAGAGCTCCCCCATGCCGCAAACACATACACACATACAAACATGCCCTTCTCTGGGATACAAATCAGGCTCTTTGTTTGGTAGTCAGAGTCACTAACCACTTTCCAGTTGGGCGGCAGACTTTGAAAGTAATCGAACTGAATATTTTCGCAAACGAATTTTGTACTTGTTAGAGAGCATGGCTGGTTATTCAAATTAGTAAAAAACCAAGTTATCTGCTCCTATGAGCTAACAATCCTAAATAAGGGTCAGCATGATCTGCTTGAGCTTTCTTTAACCCTTTGCGGTTCAGTGTTCCACTACATGGAACACCCAAATTGAATCGCTTTTGAAACCTTTAAATTGAACCGTAAATGGATAAAAATGCCTTTACAACATACTTTGAACTTTTCTTTTTAAACAGTAGATAGTAGCATATCACAAGGAGACACAGAATTTTCATTTATTGTGTGTTATTAAAATCCACTTTTTTCAAGTAATTTTCTCTATTTTTTTAATGATATAAAAAATTTTATTTGGAAAAAAAAATTAGGCATAATTTTGCTGGCTGTACTCCAAATTATCTTTTCTACATTTTTTTAATCTCTCAGACAAAAACCATACGCAGAATCATTGAATAAACCCAGGTGTTCCATTAGCGGGAACACTGCACCTTTAGCGATCTCATGCTGTTACGAATCAGAACATCTGTGCTCAGGAGAGAACATCCGTTGTTTACGTTTTCTCTTTCCGTTGCTTTGGGGGGGCAATGATTTCAAACAAAGCACTATTGAGGGGTGAGGTGTGTTTTGTGTTATGAAAGCCCTAATATTGGCATCTTAAATTTTTTGGGAGTAGTTTTTAGGCGGGAATTTTATTAGTAGCTTGACTCATCTTTAGTTAGACCTGGGCAAATTTTTTGCTGTCGCTTTTCAGTCTCATTCCCATTTATTTTCAATAATTGTGTAGATATTTCTTGTGTATATATATTATATAGGCTTGTTTTTTCTTTATTGTTAATTTTAATCATAGTTAATTATTTTAATCGTGGTTGGTTTGTGCTTCCATCAAAAAGGTGTGACTTGCTTTGAACATTTCACACGAAGCAAAGAAAATGAAAATTTGTAAATATTTTTGTATATAGGACATGCGTATATAGATATTTTATCTTATTTATATCCGTATATATTGAAGAATATTGTGTATATCCAGGAAACCATATATACAGCCATAATACAGAGTTTTTTTTTCTTATACAAATGCTTCTACTCATTTTCGTGCTTCACTGCAATGCTCGCTTAGTTGCACTTTTAAAAGCTCTGGCGGCGCAGTATTCCACCTCATGGAACACCCACAGAATTAAACCGGTAAGTGCAATTTTTACAAAATTTTACCTATATACTCCTTTAGGACTAAATAGACTGCATGCAACTTTTTTTGTTGAAATTCCGAAGTTAACGTATAGTGCGCCGCAAAGGGTTAACAATTTCTTTGTCGTTTGCACTCAACGCTCTGCTAATCCATTTGACTAGAGATGTATTCCCCCTTCACATATCTACTCACATATTCTACTCATATACAATTTATTTACTACTGGATTATTTAGTAGAGAGAGACATATATATTAATTTAATGTAAAATTCACTTACTTGGTGAATTAAAATTTGAAGTTCCACCATCACAATCAGAATTACTCTGATTGGAAAGTAACTGGTAAAATGCTCCATGTTTAGATTTGCCTAGTACCTGCCGAATGGATTGGAGATTTGACATCTGGGGAAAGAAGAGCAAAACATTAGCCCAATATAAAATCTACTTCTGCCTCTATTTACATATGCAGATTTTAGGTTTATTGACTAACGAATGTAGTATATTCCCTACGAGAAAATAAAACAACCTAATATGCTTACATAAATAAATATTATACTACCAATTATAAAATAAAAAACTATACAGTACAAAGTCTGAGTTAAGGAATTGTTGGTGCCTAGGCTCCAAAATACAGAAAGTCAAGGGGCCAAAAGTGCAGATGTGGCCAGCGTCAATCATTGTGCTCTCATTGGCACAATTTGCTATGTTAACTGAACTTCAGTTCTTTGGAATCTAATTCTTTTCTCCTTACCCGTTGTTATGCCAGCAAAACAAAATCAATATCAGCAAACAAACATGTTTCAGGTCTTCATTTAATTTTAAATTATTCCTCCTTCTTCAAACTTGCCTACTGCTATCAAGAAATTTCTGTTTTCTTACCAAATATGGTAGTAAAACAACAGCAATTTCATTTAGATTGTTGAATAGCAATTTGAATTTGGCTGAAGAATTTCAGAGTCATCTTTCACTGCATAAAAAGTTTCACTCAATGAACCCACATTCACCTGAATCATCGGACATAAAAATGCTAACTCCCCAACTTAGGGTGGAGGAAAAAAATAAAAGTTGTATAATACACACTGCCCCTCAAAAGTTGTGTATTGACTAATATATCTTTCGAGAAGTTTTTCAAAAATTTTCTACTTCATTTTTATTTCTTGCAAGAACTTTGAAATCTTGTAATTTGCTAATGGTACAGTAAAACCACAAAATTTTCAAAAACTGTTGGATGAAAATAAATCACCCCCTCATCAATTTGATTAAAATGTCATTTGTGAATTTTTTCAAAATTTTCTAATAAATTTTCCTAATTTCTAACTTTATTGCCCACAAGAGCCTTGAAATTTTGTAATGGTTATGGTACAGTTGAAAACTTTCAATATATTTCACTTTTTTAAATTAACTTCCTTATTCTACAGCTTGCTTTATAAACATGCAACTCCTCAATGGCTCAATGAACCACTCATTCTTCTCTATGAGGATGTGGTTGTATAACAAGTTGCACAAATGTCCATTCCAACACTTTGGGCCACTGTCTTTACTTTGTAGCCCTGAATTCAGAATTAGATTTGAAAGTGAGCATGATTGACCCGTGTTAATTTTTTGTTGTGATTTCTCCATCCAGAGCACCATCCCCATATACTTGTCTAAAAATCTCCGTAACATATTAAAGACACCTCTCAGCTACCTGGCATGGGAAGCATGGATAGCATGGGAAATAGAGTGCATGGAAGAAATAGAGAGCCTTCCTTGATACACTCCTTCAAATCTTCACCTGATAGATGTGATATAAGAGGTGGCCCTGTAACTTCACAATGCTAACAGTTGATAATGTTACATAAACTCTTATGATAAAAGAAGCCATCTCCTTCTAGTGGCAAATGGATTAGTGCTGCTTATGGAGACTCTAAGGACTCTTTTACCCATAGTAAGTCATCTTGCATTAGAAAGTTTTCTAGGACATTGCATCACCAGATTCATTTAGCATTTACATAAGAAACACCTTGATTTACATTCCATGGATATTTCTGTTCTGTACTGAGATTATATGGAAAATTTCCCTCACATGATCAAAACTCAACTACTGAGAACTGTTGACAGCTCATCAAGCTCTTGCCTAAATGTCTGTAAAATGCATGAGGACCCATTGTTGGTGTATCCATTTTGAATTTCCTGTATTCACTGCGGTTCAACTGCATCCAAAGTGGTAAGTTTGGATACATAAAAGTGTTCATTATTCAGACAGGTCAACATAGCTTCCTTGATACTTGCTTGACAGTTCAGTTATTTTTCTGTAGACAAATCAAACTGTAAAACTTTAACACATCTCTCGTTGGCCTGCATATTACAACTATGGTTTCATTAAAATTACCAGTTAATGGGGCACTTAACTTTTGTCTCCAGTTGAAGACATATTTCACTGATGTGCAGTATGCAGGAAGGCAGACAATGAACTGAGCTATTGAACAGAATGGCAGGGGCTGACTATCTCTTCACATAACAGGCAACCAGATAACACAATCTATCAGTGGACCACCAGCTTGGTTTCTACAAACTGGCTTCAATCTTTCAATAAAATCTATGTTGTGTATATCTTATGGTGCGAAATTAAAATATTATGATTCATTTTTTTAATGAATATTAATTTCTTTGAACACATGCAAAATATTTCGCAGGTTAGTTTCAAAGGGGAACGTAATTCGTATACCACAATTCTGTCTTGATTCTGCAAGTCTACATTATTACCATAAAAAATAAGAAATTCAAATAGTCTCTGTTATGATATGGACATTCAATATAAATACCCTGCCCTCAAAAAGTTAAGGAACAGCATGTTTTTTAAAGCTCATCATTACAAAAATGTCAGCAATGTTTAAATTTACAGTTCATATACATGATTTTAAATAGTGTATGTATTTTAGATTCATGGCAGCTTTAAGAATTTTTAAAATTTTTATAGTATTGATTTTACTTTTTTTATAATGTTTATATTATGAAATTTTAAAGCTGACAGGTAATTCTTCTATGATATTGATCATTCGTGCCTTTTTTTAATTTTAAATTTACAAATTTAGTTTGAAAAACTTATATTCAACACTTTATAAAAAATATTTGCATAAAGTTGACACAGTAAAAATCATTCATAAACTCCCTGCTGTTCATCATGATCCAAACATGCTACCAATATTTTGATACCAAGGTTTTTTTCCATTTTATTTCCATTATACATCTAACTGAACATAAAAGATGCCAAATGAAAGAACTTGCTAGAAGGAATAGACTAATGCAAGTCAAAGTATTATTATGACATGTAAGACATATGTTTTCTTGGTATAAATAAACAAGCAAACAGAAGTAACAAGGGTTTTGAGAGCACCCATGCTCATGACTGTTTGCTGGTAAATATAGTATGTATGTTACGTGTCCTACACCTTCAAATGAAAAAATTCACATGGCATACACTCATGCAAGCTAAGTGGCCACCTGTGGATTGAATCATTAGGTTTCATAGTATCCAATCAAGTTTTGATGTTCCTCTTTAAAAAGAAAATAGTTAATTCTATAATTGACATTAGGACAGTGCCCTATCTTGCTGACAGTAAGTGGTAGAACCTTCATTCATGTAGGGAGACAATCAAATTTAAAATGCATCCAAATGGGAGCCAGCAGCACTATCTGGGAGATGCAGATAAAGCGTATTTACTTAAGGTAACTACATTTGTTTTTTTTTTATGCGCAACATAGTCACTGAAAAATCTCCAGACTTGTTTAAAAAAAAAAACTTGGAGGCCCCATGAAAGTATCACCTTCTGTTGGTGGCTTTCTAAACTCTTACTTTGTTTAAACTTAGATATTTGAGTATATCAGTTAAATACTCAGAAATTAGATAACGGAATCTTGATTACCTGGGGTAACGACAATCATTTTGAACAACCCTGTATTCAAATTGATTGTCAACCACTATGTATGGAATTAAATCACTGAGTAAAATGTTAGTTGTATTAAACACCTTTTTCTCTCCCTCTTTCAGATATCTTACCAGATGCTTCTCACTTACCACTTGGTGCAAATATCTAAAATAATGTTACACAAGTTAGGCAAAGTTTTTTCAAGCAAAGTTCATTCTCAAATTAGACACAAAAAACATGCTGTTCCTTATCTTTTGGAGGGCAGCGTATCAAAATTTCAAGTCTTTTGATGGAAATGGAAATAAAGTACAAACATATTAAAATAATTTGTGACTGATACATTAGTCAATACACAACTTTCAAAGGGTTAGTTCATTTTCATCGACAAATTAAAAAATTTTTTGCAGTTTTACCGCACCATTAAAAAACCGCAAAATTTCGAGGGTCTTGTGGGAAATGCAAATGAAGGAGAAAAATTTTGAAAAATTCCATGGGTAAGATACTAGTCAATACACAACTTCTGAGGAGTCCTGTGTTTTAATTATAGAACTTTTATTCTTTTTTTCTGCCCCTACCCATGACCTTCGAGAGGGGCTACGACACTTTATAAACATGGCGGAGCTTTCCATCCGATGTTATCATCGGAAAGTCATCTGGATTTTTAAATTTATCTTTATCATCTAATATAACTTTATCATGTTGTTTAGTTAATTAAAATAGCTGAAAGAAACGAGGCTTTATATACATTATTTTCCCTTTTTAGGCTTTTTACAGATATTTTAATTAACTTTGTGCATAAATATAATTGAAAGAACCAAAGAACAAACGAACATTTTACAAAAATTTAAACGCTGATTAAAAATTGCAATGTCATGATAAACTGGAAAAGGATTCTTAAGATAATAATTAATATTTTACCTAGGCTCAAGTATAAATTTATTTGCGTTTCAGAGCAAAACATATTGTTCAGAATCAAGCATTTAAATAGCATTATGTGCAGTTTCAGTGGCATCACTGTTATTTTTGTCATTCTAAAATTTGTCATGTAAACAGTAAGATGTACGTAAGTTATCTCTACTTTATTTTGTTAATAAAGTTCAAAATTCAATTAGCCATCACTCTGCATGTTAACTCTGTTAATTTCATAACAGGTTCAAGACAGTGATGGCGTGAAAGGTTATAGGTTTTAGCGACGTTTAACTGCGCAAATAAATTATCGATGGCTATGTTGACGTATTTGAATCACGGATTTTCTTTTCTTTCCTTTTCGATTTCAACACTTCCACCTGAACAGTGTGTAGGTAGATGCTACAGTGTACCAATAGCCTTTTATTTTTGCTGCATATTTCTTGGTTAATAACGACGTAATATGGAAGCTAAAAATTTTGTTCAGTGTATCAAATTGGAAGGTTTATTTAACTGGACTGATTGGAAATTTGAAATAAACTCTTTATTTGTGCTCAATGATTGTGCGCGCATCTTCGATAATTCCTT